TAAAATAAAACAACAAAAAAAGTGTTGAGAAAAAAAGAGCAGAAGTAAAATAAAATAACAGTAGGGAGGCTATATATACACAGGGGTACCGGTGCAGAGTCAATGTGCAGGGGCCGGCTAGTTGAGGAAGTTGAAGTAATATGTACATGTGTGTAGAGTTAAAGTGACTATGCATAAATAATTAACAGAGTAGCAGCAGCGTAAAAAGATGGGGTGGGGGGGGCAGTGCAAATAGTCCGGGTAGCCATGATTAGCTGTTCAGGAGTCTTATGGCTTGGGGGTAGAAGCTGTTGAGAAGTATTTTGGACCTAGACTTGGTGCTCCGGTACTGCTTGCCGTGCGGTAGCAGAGAGAACAGTCTATGACTTGGGTGGCTGGAGTCTTTGACCATTTTTTGGGCCTTCCGACACCGCCTAGTATATAGGTCCTGGATGGCAGGAAGCTTGGCCAGAGTGATGTACTGGGCCGTACGCACTACCCTCTGTAGCGCCTTACGGTCGGTTGGCGAGCAGTTGCCATACCAGGCGGTGATGCAACCGGTCAGGATGCTCTCGATGGTGCAGCTGTATAACATTTTTAGGATCTGGGGACCCATGCCAAATCTTTTCAGTCTCCTGAGGGCGAAAAGGTGTTGTCGTACCCTCTTCACGACTGTCTTGGTGTGTTTGGGCCATGATAGTTTGATACATTCTATTGCTTGCAAGAATTTTGTATAATAATTTAAATTGAAATATTTAGTTTTGAATCCTGCGTCATTTTATGTGCCATGGAATCGGTACATCGAAAATCTATTCCCAACTATTTTGCAATCTATATGGCACAGCTTTAAATGTTTTGTTCCTGAAATGAAACTGGTATACTTTTTTATTTTATTACAATTTTCTTTAGCCAATTTTGGTCTTTAACGCAGGGCCGACAGACAAGTTCCTTACTTTCTCCCCCTTCAACTTGCCTCTTCCATTTTTTCGGTAATGTTGCAATTAATTTGTTGTAATTTTGAGTAGAGCAGACATTGCCATATATTTTTGTTTGCTGCATGTGTGACATAACTATTACATGTTAATGAAAATCTCTCTGAGCAAACGATTAGTATAAAATAATACAATTTCCCAAAACATTTTTGCATACAATAAAGCTCAGAATTTGAATGATTTATTTTAAACAGTCATTTTTGCTCATCTTTATCAAGGGTGTCAATCATTTCAGACCCCACTGTATATATAATATGGTGTAGTTCAATGTTTTACAGGCTTGAACTCTTTTCAATAATGTTTATCGTCCTTATCAAACAGAAGTGAAACCATAGTACTCATAGTGTTGACTCCTGATAATAGTCTGTGAGCTGATTCTCAATGTGCTTATCTTTGATTACGACCAGCAGGCTCCACTAGCACCACTTTTACCGCTTTTAGTCACATGCCCTGTACAATGTGTCTTAGTATCTCCAGCCCTGGGTCTGAAGGATCTGGGGCCGGTTTCTCAAAAGCATCTTAAGGCTAAGTTCATCGTTAAAACCATAGGAACCTATGGTCCTAAGATGAATGTAGCCTTAAGATGCTTTTGTGCTTTAGATCAGACAAAACACAGTTGTTACTCACCTACACGGGCCTTGATGTACTCTCAGTCACAACAGAAAATGGGGTCATTCACAACCAGCAGATGTTCTCAAGCTCTGACATGTTCGTTTCACAGTAAATAGGGTTGCCACTCTGCAGCTGAACACATTCACTGCTTGGCCTCAAAGACGTAACATGGTAAATGTACATCTATGACACTCAAATTAGTATACGTTAAGTTTGATATGGTTACATAAGACATCAAAAGGAGGGAGGTTAGTCAGGGAGGATGGCTGGGCATATAACTTGAGCGTCTAGGAAATCAAAGGTTGCGTGTTCAAATCACATCATTTTAGCTAATTAGCAAATACTTACTACATTTTAGCTACTTAGCATGTTAGCTAACCTTTCCCCTTATCTTAACCCCTAACCCTTACCTGAACACCTAGCCTAGCTAAAGTTCGCCACCTAGCTAACATTAGCCACAACCAGGGGCGCAAATTTGGTTTTAGAAGTGGGGGGGACATAACCTGGCAGGGGGTCTAAAGCTAATTTCCTGCATTTCTACACAATGTAATATGACCCTTTTGGAGTCACTTTTATTGTAAATAAGAATAGAATATGTTTCTAAACACTTCTACATGAATGTGGATGCTACCATGATTATGGATAATCTGAATGAATTGTGAATAATGATGAGTGAGAAAGTTAGACGTACAAATATCATACCTCCCAAAAAATTCTAACCTCCCCTGTTATTGAAATGGTGAGAGGTTAGCATGTCTTGGGGGTATGATATTTGTGCGTCTGTAACTTTCTCACTCATCACTATTAATGATCCATTCAGGATTTTACATAATCATGGTAGCATTCACATTCGTGTAGAAGTGTTTAGAAACATATTCTATTCTTATTTACAATAAAAGTGACTCCAAAATGACACAATACATTATTTCCCATTAATTTCTATTGGGCACAAAATAATCTGAAACACAACCAAAACAAACAGCAAATACATCAAACAAATTTGTAGAGTCACAAGCTTGATGTAGTCATTGTGCGCTATGAATGTGGGACCAAATACCTAACTTTTTACTACTTTAAAAACACATACAAGTGAATTTCTCCAAATACTTTTGCTCCCCAAAAATGGGACTACAGTATGTACAAAAAGTGCTGTAATTTATAATTGGTTCACCCGATATCGATGAAAATACCCTGAAATGAAAGCTGAGAGCCTGCACCAACTTCATAGTCATTGTTTTATTTCAAACTTTTGGAGTATAGCGCCAAAATAAGAACATTTGCTTCACTGTCCCAATAATTCCGTAGGGCACTGTAATTCATATCATAGGCCTAATATTACTGTAGAGCTCTTTTTATTTGAACACAATATACACAAACGTATGTGGACACCCCTTCAAATTAGTGGATTTGGCTATTTCAGCCACACCCATTGCCGACAGGTGTATAAAATCGAGCACACAGCCATGCAATCTACAGTGCTATGAAAAAGTATTTGCCCCCTTTCTAATTTTCTCTACTTTTGCATATTTGTGATACTGAATGTTATCAGATCTTCAATCAAAACCTAATATTAGATAAAGGGAACAAATAACACAACAATTACATATTTATTTCATAAACAAAGTTATGCAACACCCAATTCCCTTGTGTGAAAAAGTAATTGCCCCCTTACACTCAATAACTGGTTGTGCCACCTTTAGCTGCAATGACTCCAACCAAATGCTTCCTGTAGTTGTTGATCAGTCTCTCACATCGCTGTGGAGGAATTTTGGCCCACTCTTCCATGCAGAACTGCTTTAACTCAGTGATGTGTGGGTTTTCAAGCATGAACTGCTCGTTTCAAGTCCTGCCACAACATCTCAATTGGGATTAGGTCTGGACTTTGACTAGGCCATTCCAAAACTTCCAATTTGTTGCTTTTTAGCAATTTTCATGTAGACTTGATTGTGTGTTTTGGATCATTGTCTTGCTGCATGACCCAGCTGCGCTTCAGCTTCAGCTCACAGACGGATGGTCTGACATTCTCCTGTAGAATTCTCTGATACAGAGCAGAATTAATGGTTCCTTCTATTAAGGCAAGTTGTCCAGGTCCTGAGGCAGCAAAGCATCCCCAAAGCATCACACCACCACCACCATGCTTGACCTTTGGTATGATGCTCTTACTGTGGAATGTAGTGTTTGGTTTTCGCCAGGCATAATGGGACCCATCTCATCCAAAAAGTTGACTCAAGTTTGCAAAAAAGCACCTGGATGATCATCAAGACTCTTGGAAGAACATTCTATGGACAGATGATTCAAAAGTATAACTTTTTGGACAACATGGTTCCAGTAATGCCTGGCGAAAACCAAACTCTGCATTCCACAGTAAGAACATCATACCAAAGGTCAAGCATGGTGGTGGTGGTGTGATGGTTTGGGGATGCTTTGCTGCCTCAGGACCTGGACGACTTGCCTTAATAGAAGGAACCATTAATTCTGCTCTGTATCAGAATTCTACAGGAGAATGTCAAACCATCCGTCACTGTGAAGTTGTCAACCGTGATGGAAAGGTCTTTGAGCGGGCAGGCCTTCTCCGGGAGGAAGAGCAGTTCCATCTTGTCGAGGTTGAGCTTGAGGTGGTGGGCCGACATCCAAGTTGAGATATCTGTCAGGCACGCAGAGATGTGTGTCACCTGGGTGTCAGAAGGAGGGAAGGAGAAAAGTAGTTGAGTGTCATCCGCATAGCAATGATAGGAGAGACCATGTGAGGATATGACGGAGCCAAGTGACATGGTGTATAAAGAGAAGAGGAGAGGGCCTCTTTGAAGTCAGAGGGGACGCAGACAGTGGTCAAGGATGAGTTGTTGAGGGAAGTGAGAAGGTCTCCAGAGATGGTCTGGAGAAAGGAGGAGGGGGTCGAATGGGCAGGTTGTCGGCCGGTCAGACCTCACTAGTCGCAGGATGTCATCTGTAGAGAGAGGGGAGAAAGAGGCTGTCTCATCATTGTTGGTAATCAAGCCTACTACTGTTGTGTCGTCTGCAAACTTGATGATTGAGTTGGAGGCGTGCTTGGCCACGCAGTCATGGGTGAACAGGGAGTACAGGAGGGGGCTGAGCATGCACCCTTGTGGGGCCCCAGTGTTGAGGATCAGCGAAGTGGAGATGTTGTTTCCTACCTTAACCACCTGGGGGCGGCCCGTCAGGAATCCAGGACCCAGTTGCACAGGGCGGGGTTCAGACCCAGGGCCTCGAGCTTAATGATGAGCTTGGAGGGTACTATTGTGTTGAATGCTGAGCTATAGTCAATGTGTAAAATAAGAAATGCCACATTGTAGCTACAGGCTTACAATAGTTCACAAATACTGTGATGTTTATCTCTTTTTTTTTTTGTCATGGACTTGATTGTACAACATGAAAGAGTAATTTAATGACTAAATCATGATAGAAGGCTACTATATTCTACAGCAAGATATTTTTTCTCCACAGGTGATAAACATGGAGGTGATGAATGAGACATGCACAGATGCATATGATTATTATGACAACCCAGAAGACTGCACTAAAGATTATCCAGATGATAACGAATATATCTGTAACCTGAATCCCAACCGTGATATGGAGATAGTCATACAGACCTTCGTCCATTCCATCATCTGTGCATTCGGTCTCTGCGGCAATGCATTGGTGATAGTCACATATGCCTTCTACAAGAAAGCCAAGACCATGACGGACGTGTACCTTCTGAACGTGGCGGTGGCAGACCTGCTGTTCATCGTGGCCCTGCCTCTCATCATTTACAATGAGCAGCATTACTGGAGCATGGGCTCAGTGGCCTGCAAGGTACGAAGTTTTCACAGTTCCTAATGAAGTTCCCAATACAGGTTCTAAAGTTCAAAAGTTGGTCATGTTACTGTGAAGTGAAAGTCACATTTCCACATTGCATGGACAATGTTTTTCTTCTTTTTATTTTAATTTCTAAGGTTTTGCGAGGAGCCTACAGCATCAACCTGTACAGTGGCATGCTCCTGCTGGCCTGCATCAGTGGAGACCGCTACATCTCCATCGTCCAGGCCAGGCGCTACTTTGGCCTCCACTCCCGGACCCTGATCTACAGCCGCCTAATCTGCACAGCCATCTGGGCTCTGGCCGTAGCCCTGTCCGTCCCCACAGTCATCTACAACGAGCGGGTTGAGGAGACCATCTGGCCGGAAGAGACTATAACCGTGTGCCAGGCGCAGTTTGAAAGTAACAGGACTGCCCGGTTGATTAAGGTGCTGGTGCCTAGCCTGCAGGTGGCCATGGGGTTCTTCCTGCCCCTCCTGGTCATGGTCCTCTGCTATGCCAGCATCGTCTGGACCCTACTGAGGGCCCAAAGCACCCAGAGACAGAAGGTTCAGTCATAGTTCCAGTCATAGAATTAGAATGTTTAATTCTAAGAATATATTTGTGTCCAAGTTAATGTTTCTTATAGGGCCAATTAAGTTGATCTCATCTTATCTTCTCTTCAGGCGGTGCGTGTGGTCCTAGCCGTGGTGGTGGTCTTCATCGTGTGCCACCTGCCCTACAACGTGGCACTGCTCTATCATACGGTGGCGCTGTTCCAGCAAAGGGAGTGTGAGGTAGAGAAGGTCATCCTCACCACCCTCACCATCACCAGGAGCCTGGCCTACCTCCACTGCTGCCTCAACCCCATCCTGTACGCCTTCATCGGGGTCAAGTTCAGGAGCCACTTCAGGAAGATCCTGGAGGACCTGTGGTGCCTGGGCAGGAAGTACATCTACCCCTCTAGACGCTCCTCACGCATGACCTCTAACCTCTATATCCCAGCACACAAGTCCACCAACGGATCCAACAAATCCAACGAGAATGGCTCGTCGTTTACCATGTGAAGATGGGAGTAGGTAGAGATTGCCTCCAATTACTATGGGTGATGATAACATAGTTAGTCAGGAAATCCAGTAGTGAGTATTTGTTTGCTACTGTAGCTACATAATTTCCTACAGTATTTGCTGTATTAGTCCAATTGAATGCTCAACGCTACTGTATATTGAAATTGCTCTAATTACAGAAAATAGCTTACGGTTGTGAGTGTGACTAAATAAAAGCAGGCCATTCTACCTGAGAATTGTTGAACTTGGACACTGTCTCGTTGGCCTAACGTTATATCCTAATTTGACTTTGGTGCAGGTCATGTTCTTCACATTACCGTCTCTGATAAACACATACTATATCAAATAAAATGAAAGTATATTTGTCACATGCACAGGATACAGAAGGTGTAGTGAAATGGTTACTTGCATAGCGGAGTCTTTTGTTTAGACAAGTAGCTAGCTAGCTAAACAATTAACCATAATCCCAACTCATAATGTTACTACCCTGCATGAAGATGCAGGTAGCTAGCCAACCAGTTTCAATGTTAGCTAGCTAGCTAACATTAGGCTATAACTAGCAATGCAAATGGCTCTGAGATACGAATAATATTACTACATAGATCATACATGTAGCGTTAACTAGCGAGCCAGCCTGCTAACATTAGCCAGCTAGCTAAGAATATGTTTTAACTTGAAATGAAAACGACTTTCTAACAAAATTTGAAACGTATAATATCTGAAAATGTAGCTAGCTAGACTATCTTACCCGTATACATGGATGGACGCTTCTCCCTCTCTGTCACAGATGCCATGGTTGCCCTTAGTTTGAAGATGTAATCCGGAGACAGGTGTTTTATACAACAGCCTTCTGAGTGTTTTCTTTTCGACTCCCTCTGCATATTTGCAATCAAACACCAGAATTTTCTATCATACTCTAATTCCACCGGGCATTCCACTGATTTCAAAACTCAGTCCTCCAGAAAGTGGAGCAACACTTTTGCAGTTCTACTATGTGATATCTTTCAAAAAAGGTTTACCTACACATACTGACCAGCTCATGTTATAGACAGAAGCGAGCTACATGGCAGACCAATCCGAACTCATCTATCAGCATGTCCAGCCCATCCATTATCTCAGCCAATCATGGCTAGCGGGAAGGTTCCTGTCTTTTTCCGTGGCTAAACCAACTAGGCTCGTAATTTAACAATTGTATTTGTATTTACAGATGGCATACAAGTTTGTTATTAAGGCACATGAAAGTTGACATGAACTAGAAGGCATTTCTGCCAAAAAACTGTTTTTTTAAAAGTTTACGTTCAAATGCCTTTCCTGTGCAGTAGTGATGCGCGACATATGCCTAGTTTCCTGATACAAGTCACATTTTTGGGACCAGGGATGTACAGTACTTGATGTCAAATTCATACGGTGCCAGCTTGGCAACCCATCTCTGCTCACAAGCATTGAGCTTCGCTTTTGTCAGGATGTATGTCAAGGGATTGTTATCCGTCCAATACGGTCAACTGCTGCCCCCATAGCCAATGACGGAACTTGTCGCAGATAGCCCATTTCATGGCAAAGAACTCAAGCCTGTGTGCAGGATAACTCGTCTGGGCATAACTGAGTGACTTTATTTTATTTTTTATTTTATTTTTTGGGGGGGGGATGGATCAGCTTAATATTGCAGATAGATTGCATCTTCTATCAATGTAATTGTCTGCATCACTTCCAATCCCCCATGTTTTTTTAATTTTTTTATATATATATATTCCTCTTTATTACTTTTCAACCCCACCATCCTTTCCCTACTTGGAGTAAATTAGTGAACAACAACGCCCAGGCCTCTACTTCCGGTCTATACTTACTATCTACACCTTATGGACAGAGTTAATTTTACAATAATTCTATATCTATATCTATATATATATCTATATATATATATATATCTATATATATATATATATATCTATATATCTATATATATCTATATATATATCTATATATCTATATATATCTATATATCTATATATATCTATATATATATATATATATATATATATATATATTTATTTTTTTGCTCCTGAACTTCTTCTACTCTCAACCTCTCCGATCATTTTCATGATGTCCATCCGGTTTGCATAACTGAGTGACTTGCTCGCGAAGGCTATTGGTCTCGCTGTAGATCCCCCTTTTTGTACCTGGGATTGCACAACACCTAGGCCATTGCTGGACACCTCCACAGTTGGAAGGGTTAATTGAAGTTGGGGTGAGCCAACAAGACCTTATCCAGCAAGGCTTGCGTTAGCTGGAGGAAGACCTGCTTGCACTCTGTTGTCCAGTCAGCGGCCTTCAATTTCCTGACAGGTGAGCGTCGCTTCTTCATCTTGCAGCGTGGAGCCTTGTGCCCAGTTGTCAACCAAAAGTGAGGCTTTGCGATGGTCGAGCAGTCTTCAATTAACTGTTGGTAATACACCACCATCCCGAGGAATGTTTATTCTGAGGGGATGTCAGTTCCATCTTCCATCAGGTCAACTTCCATCATGCCTGCAATGGCCTTCACTTTCTCAGGATCTGTAGCTACGCCATCCGCACTGATGATGTGCCACAAGAACATCACAGACCTCTGCAAAAAGTGACACTTTCGGGTCGAGCTTCAAATTGTGAGCCTTAAGACGTTCAAAGACCATTTCCAGTCGCTGCAGAGCCAGGTCTTCAGTGGGCGCCTAGACCAAGATATCAAGGTAACACAGCAGGCTAAGAAAGTTCTGATCTCCGAAGATGTTTAGCATCATCCTCATGAATGTTGCAGGACTGTTACATAACCCCTGTGACATACGGTTGTATACATACAATCCAAATGGCGATGTAAATGCTGTGAATCTCCGGTCATCCTTATGCATTTCCACATTGTAGTAGCCAGAGGTAAGGTCCATTGTCGAGAAAAAGGCATTTCCACCTAAAGCAGCCAGCGCGTCAGCCTGGTGAGGGACTGGGTGAGCGTCTTTGATGGTGCAACATGCAGAAATCAGTAGCGCTGCTATAGACGACATAGAAAAGGAGAGAAATTCAAATGAATGGCCTCATGTATTATTGCTTAATTGAAATTGCTATGGGTTTTTAAAAGAATTACATTATTTTGTATATTTTGTATTGTGAAATGTTGAATTATTCCTCTGTGTTTATCAATGCCAATTTCGCAGCATTATAGGCTTTTTTTGGTCAAAATGTAGCAAAGCATTACTAAAACATGTAACTGGATGCAACCTAATACAAATACTGTATGTTAGGTCTCTAAATTAAATGTATGCCTAGGACAGATTTATCTCACAAAAAATTAAAATAAGCATTCACTAACATTTCCATGGGATGATTTGCATATACTAGTCTTTTCAGCAAAAGTAACTTGGTGCCTGAGGGAGCTTTTCCAACAGAAAGACCAGACATGGAAGAAGGGTGTGATCTTATTGGGTGATAGGAAGGAATAAATCCCTAATTGATCCCTGTGCCATACATATCATTACAGCCTTGGCATACAGTGTACTGTTTTTATCATAACAAGCACAGTACTCCGATCCCTTCCACATTTCCAATATCACTACAAGACACATTAAGACCTTTCTCTTTATTCTACTAACATCCTGTTTTTGATTCAACCACCAAGGTTATTTAGGAGCTTTTCAGGGAAAGGGGACATTTCAACAACATAGTTTTGGTTTGTGCAAAATTATAGGAGCGAAAGTAAAGACTGCAGTTATCCACATGAAAGTGTTTGTGTTGAGCATAGTTAAAAAGTATATATTAAAAGACGCATCTTCCTGACCACCTCCGGAGATAGTCAAACTCGCATTGTGTCTGTATATCTTACAAGTGTAGACTGCTCTGGACAGTGAAGGAATTTAAATCATCATTATCCTGCCCTCTAAAATAATTGACAGGTGACACCATTGACTTATAGCATCAATACGTGTCTTAAAATAAATACAGATGTTGAAAGAATATCTGTCAAACAATTTGCATACAGGGAGGGTCCAGGATATCTGGTCACAATGCGGACACAGTGGACAGATGACACATTTATGTACCGTGTAGATGCAACGGCTACAATGTGGATAAGATCAGGACAAAAGACTGTCGTGATGTGACTTTCATTTTCAGAAGATATATAGATATATACACTACCAGTCAAAAGTTAGGACACACCTACTCATTCAAGGGTTTTTCTTTCTTTCTTTTTATTTTTTACATTGTAGAACAACAGTGAAGACATAAAAACTATGAAATAACACATATGAAATCATGTAGTAAGCAAAAAAGTAACAAATCAAAATATATTTCATATTTGAGATTCTTCAAATATCCACCCTTTGCCTTGATGACAGCTTTGCACACTCTTGGCATTCTCTCAACCAGCTTCATGAGGTAGTCACCTGGAATGCATTTCAATTAACAGGTGTGCCTTCTTAAAAGTTGTGGAATTTATTTTCTTCTTAATGCGTTTGAGACAATCAGTTATGTTGTGACAAGGTAGGGGGGGTATACAGAAGATAGCCCTATTTGGTAAAATACCAAGTCCATATTAAGGCAAGAACAGCTCAAATAAGCAAAGAGAAACGACAGTCCATCATTACTTTAAGACATGAAGGTCAGTCAATAAGGAACATTTCAAGAACTTTGAAAGTTTCTTCAAGTGCAGTCGCAAAAACCATCAAGCGCTACAATGAAACTGGCTCTCATGAGGACCACCACAGGAATGGAAGACCCAGAGTTACCTCTGCTGCAGAGGAAAAGTTAATTAGAGTTACCAGCCTCAGAAATTGCAGCCCAAATAAATGCTTCACAGAATTCAAGTAACAGACACATCTCAAAATCAACTGTTCACAGGGGACTGTCTGAATCAGGCTTTCATGGTCGAATTGCTACAAAGAAACCACTACTAAAGGACACCAATAATAAGAGACCTGCTTGGGCCAAGAAACACGAGCAATGGATATTAGACCGGTGGAAATGAGACGCGGTTGTGGGTAAACGGATGATCTCCGCATGTGTAGTTCCCACCATAAAGCATGGAGGATGTTTTATGGTGTGGGGGTGCTTTGCTGGTGACACTGTGATTTATTTAGAATTCAAGGCACACTTAACCAGCATGGCTACCACAGCATTCTGCCGCGATACGCCATCCCATCTGGTTTGGGCTTAGTGGGACTATCATTTGTTTTTCAACAGGACAATGACCCAACACACCTCCAGGCTGTGTAAGGGCTATTTTACCAAGAAGGGCTTACTGAAGAGCTCAGTGACTTTCAACGTGGCACCGTCATAGGATGCCAGCTTTCCAACAAGTCAGTTTGCAAAATGTCTGCCCTGCTAGAGCTGCCCCGGTCAACTGTAAGTGCTGTTATTGTGAAGTGGACAAGTTTAGGAGCAACAACGGCTCAGCCGCGAAGTGGTAGGCCCGACGAGCTCACAGAACAGGACCAGCGAGTGCTGACGCACATAGCGTGTAAAAATAATCTGTCCTCGGTTGCAACACTCACTACCAAGTTCCAAACTGCCTCTGGAAGCAATGTCAGCACAATAACTGTTTGTCAGGAGCTTCATGAAATAGGTTTCCATGGCCGTGCAGCCGCACACAAACCTAAGAATTTGGGACACATGCAAGTGTGTAACACAAAATAAGTGAGAAGCGTGACGTAAAAATATTGCACATTAGAACATAACACAAAGCCATACACTTTTTCTACTGTCACTCCAGCTTAATACAGGTATTCTCTATTTGGAATAAAGCATTGCTTTTCTTTTGTTGTACATGGGACTGAGGTAGAAAACTGCATCAGTGACACATGTCGGCAGATAGGGAAAGGCATAGAAGAACAACATATCCAGCTTAGAGACCAACAGGTATCTGCGTTTAGGTCTGTCCGCTGTGAGGGCGTCCACCATAGCGTCTATGACCAGGCTGCTGTCCTGGTTGCCAGCCATACATGTGGACATGTGGTAGTCATTGGCCAGGTCCACATACTGTCTGTTGAACATCTGTTGATGCTCCTCGTCCAGTTTCTCCCAGATTTCTGTCCCTGTTCTCCTCCTCAGGATGTTGGTAGCAGGACCAAAGTTACCTGGCTGGATGATGCTCACCTGAGATCATCAACACAACGTTAAAGGTGCACTCTGCAGTTCAAACAATAAGCAGTCACACCGCCAGTATTTTGGTGAAGACCTGAGGGATTGGGCTGGAGAAATGTAACCTTTCTCAAATTCATAAACAGAGCTATGGATGCAAGGATTGGCCATCCATGATATCAAAGTTATAGATTTAACCATGTTTTGAAGTTATACAGTGTTTGTTTACAATTACTTTGTAACCACAAAGTAGTAAAACAAACGTATATTTTGGGGTCTGATGGGGGTACCACAGTTGAACTACGCTCATGAGGCATTTATGAGTTATATTCTTCAACAATAAATGGGTATACTCTATATCATTAACTTAAAATGTCCAAAATGGATATAGCAATCACAGATTGACGCTTTGAGGAATGTGTTGGTTACAATCAATGTAAAAAAAAATCTACAAGATTATTAAAAGACACACACACACAGTAAGTATCATGATTACCAAGACTTTTCTTTACCTTTACTCCAAAACCGGCCATCTCTACCCGTAAGCAGTCTGCAAACGCCTCCAGTCCTCTCTTGGACATACTGTAGGCCCCCATGGTTAGACAGTTGAAGAACGCAAAGATGCTTGAGACATACACCATCCGTCCTACGGAAATCAATGAACATTACACATTTTAGAACACTGTGGAGTAATATGAACATTGAATGTTATAAATCAAGAACTGTGATCACCATTATGAAATGGTGATGGTAAAATAATTATTAAACGTACCTTTTGAGGCACGAACCAATGGGAGGAAAGCAATGGAGGTCCTGATGCTGCCAAATAAGTTGACCTCAGCCATATTGCGATAATCATCAACGGTGTTCCACTCCGTCTCTGACCAGTCTGAGATGCCAGCATTATTCACAACTGCCCATAGCCCTTCAAACGAAACAAATCAACTTACATTAACAATGTGTGTGAAACTTGTTAATCAGTTTTGTCATAAGTGTCTCACATTTCAGCCTGGAGTCAGACATATGCGTGTTCGAGTTGCGTCGGGGGACAACTATAGCATTTTAGCTAACACTTACCCACACCCGTCGCTATGGGCGGGCCATAGGGGGCCGGGCCCACCCCCTTTAAATGCTTGTGCCCCCCCCCCCCCCACTTGAGGGAATTTATTATTAAATATACATACTGTAGGCTAATAATAATTGTGCCCTGCCCTCCCATGCATTTCATATGCCCCCCTTAAGACTGAGGTCTGGCGACGGGTCTGCCCTTACCCTAACCTAGAGCTGGGCCAATAAACCTAAAATTACAGACACCACCTTCCTCTTACCGAAGCATTTTGCGTATGCTGGTAATTTTGCTATACAACGTTCCTGTAGAGTGTTCTAAAACCATTATTTGGTCATCAGTAATAGCCTACGCATCATGTTGATTCCTGCTATGAAGGTATCTGCCTGTCCCTGTTTCGCTGTTGGCTACTCACTCCCTCTCCCCACTGTGCGCACGGAGGAGGGAGAGATGCATTCTGAGAAGCACAAGCATATGACCGTTGTTCCAAATGCAATTGCGGGAAAAATACAGTTTTCAAAGCAACTACTGTTGTTACAGTTAGAGAGGACAGTCACAGCTTTGTTTGAGTATATATATTTATTTATCACCTCTTAAAACTGCAATATGTAGCTTCAAACAGCTGAAAGTACAATATTGTTTGTTATGGAAAATGTATTTCACAGCGGTTTAGACAGTACAATGATTCTCTACGCTATACTTGCTTGTTTTGTCACAAACTGAAATTGGGCGAACTACTCTATTTTAGCAACAAGGAAATGGCGGAGTGATTTCTGCATAGTGCTATTTAACACATCTGGAGTAGGCTGTAGTATGGTTTTGATACGCCCGCGGAGCAGAGCGCGCGATTTGCAGTGAATAGGCCTACTTCAAGTAGCCTAGGCCTAGTGCTGGAAAGTTTTTGTAGGACATTAGCCTACATTTACTAATAGATTAAAATGAATAAATTAGCCTACATGGCTATATAGCAAAAATATCATATTTAAAGTCAGCAAACTAGCTAGGTGTTTTGAGTTCCCACTACCTCAGGTGGTGAATAATATTGCCTACAGGGCCAATATGCACAAAGATGTCTCCAAATTCTCTGAAGAGCCAAAAATAAATCTGATAATTCTGGATCATTTTTGACAGGTTGCACATCACAATAGCAATCGTGCATTCCCTGTATACAGTGGGGAAAAAAAGTATTTAGTCAGCCACCAATTGTGCAGGTTCTCCCACTTAAAAAGATGAGAGAGGCCTGTAAACTTCATCATAGGTACACGTCAACTATGACAGACAAAATGAGGAAAAAAAATCCAGAAAATCACATTGTAGGATTTGTAATGAATTTATTTGCAAATTATGGTGGAAAATAATTATTTGGTCAATAACAAAAGTTTCTCAATACTTTGTTAAATACCCTTTGTTGGCAATGACACAGGTCAAACGTTTTCTGTAAGTCTTCACAAGGTTTTCACACACTGTTGCTGGTATTTTGGCCCATTCCTCCATGCAGATCTCCTCTAGAGCAGTGATGTTTTGGGGCTGTCGCTGGGCAACACAGACTTTCAACTCCCTCCAAAGATTTTCTATGGGGTTGAGATCTGGAGACTGGCTAGGCCACTCCAGGACCTTGAAATGCTTCTTACAAAGCCACTCCTTTGTTGCCCGGGCGGTGTGTTTGGGATCATTGTCATGCTGAAAGACCCAGCCACGTTTCATCTGCAATGCCCTTGCTGATGGAAGGAGGTTTTCACTCAAAATTTCACGATACATGGCCCCATTCATTCTTTCCTTTACACGGATCAGTCGTCCTGGTCCCTTTGCAGAAAAACAGCCCCAAAGCATGATGTTTCCACCCCCATGCTTCACAGTAGGTATGGTGTTCTTTGGATGCAACTCAGCATTCTTTGTCCTCCAAACACGACGAGTTGAGTTTTTGCCAAAAAGTTCTATTTTGGTTTCATCTGACCATATGACATTCTCCCAATCCTCTTCTGGATCATCCAAATGCACTCTAGCAAACTTCAGACGGGCCTGGACATGTACTGGCTTAAGCAGGGGGACACGTCTGGCACTGCAGGATTTGAGTCCCTGGCGGCGTAGTGTGTTACTGATGGTAGGCTTTGTTACTTTGGTCCCAGCTCTCTGCAGGTCATTCACTAGGTCGCCCCGTGTGGTTCTGGGATTTTTGCTCACCGTTCTTGTGATCATTTTGACCCCACGGGGTGACATCTTGCGTGGAGCCCCAGATCGAGGGAGATTATCAGTGGTCTTGTATATCTTCCATTTCCTAATAATTGCTCCCACAGTTGATTTCTTCAAACCAAGCTGCTTACCTATTGCAGATTCAGTCTTCCCAGCCTGGTGCAGGTCTACAATTCTGTTTCTGGTGTCCTTTGACAGCTCTTTGGTCTTGGCTATAGTGGAGTGTGACTGTTTGAGGTTGTGGACAGGTGTCTTTTATACTGATAACAAATTCAAACAGGTGCCATTAATACAGGTAACGAGTGGAGGACAGAGGAGCCTCTTAAAGAAGAAGTTACAGGTCTGTGAGAGCCAGAAATCTTGCTTGTTTGTAGGTGACCAAATACTTATTTTCCACCATAATTTGCAAATAAATTCATTAAAAATCCTACAATGTGATTTTCTGGATTTTTTTTTCTCAATTTGTCTGTCATAGTTGACGTGTACCTATGATGAAAATTACAGGCCTCTCTCATCTTTTTAAGTGGGAGAACTTGCACAATTGGTGGCTGACTAAATACTTTTTTCCCCCACTGTATGTGTGATGAAATAGCCTATATATGATTCAAAGAGTAAGCTAACATCTCCGTTGTCTTACTTGGCACTGTAGAAAAAATATTCTAGAGCCCTGCAGAGTAACTGTCCATTAAAACAAATTTGTATCATTCTATTTACAGTTATTGAGCAAAATAGTTACTTTTTCCCCCTTCTGATAACCAGGTGGCGAATCGCATCTCTGCATGTCTGGCAGACATATCAGTATGGATGACGGATCACCACCTCAAGCTGAACCCTGGCAAGACGGAGCTGCTCTTCCTCCCGGGGAAGGACTGCCCGTTCCATGATCTCGCCATCACGGTTGACAACTCCGTTGTGTCCTCCTCCCAGAGTGCGAAGAGCCTTGGCGTGACCCTGGACAACACCCTGTCGTTCTCCGCTAACATCAAGGCGGTGACCCGATCCTGCAGGTTCATGCTCTACAACATTCGGAGTGTACGACCCTGCCTTACACAGGAAGCGGCACAGGTCCTAATCCAGGCACTTGTCATCTCCCGTCTGGATTACTGCAACTCGCTGTTGGCTGGGCTCCCTGCCTGTGCCATTAAACCCCTACAACTCATCCAGAATGCCGCAGCCCGTCTGGTGTTCAACCTTCCCAAGTTCTCTCACGTCACCCCGCTCCTCCGCACACTCCACTGGCTTCCAGTTGAAGCTCGCATCTGCTACAAGACCATGGTGCTTGCCTGCCTATGGAGCAGTGAGGGGAACGGCACCTCCATACCTTCAGGCTCTGATCAGTCCCTACACCCAAACGAGGGCATTGCGTTCATCCACCTCTGGCCTGCTGGCTCCCCTTCCTCTGCGGAAGCATAGTTCCCGCTCAGCCCAGTCAAAACTGTTCGCTGCTCTGGCACCCCAATGGTGGAACAAGCTCCCTCACGACGCCAGGACAGCGGAGTCACTCACCACCTTCCGGAGACATTTGAAACCCCACCTCTTTAAGGAATACCTGGGATAGGATAAAGTAATCCTTCTACCCCCCCCCCAAAAATAAAAATAAATAAATTGTAAAGTGGTTATCCCACTGGCTATAGGGTGAATGCACCAATTTGTAAGTCGCTCTGGATAAGAGCGTCTGCTAAATGACGTAAATGTAAATGTAAATTTGTCACATTACTTTTTGTCCATATTATCGTCCACCTCTAGCACCTCCCCAAAAATAATTTATCGGAATTTATCCCAGATTTATCATTATCGCAAAACATAGGTCAACATATCAGGATATGGATTTTTGTCCGTGTCACCCAGCTCTACCGTAACCCTAATTCTAACCTTAACCCAATTCACCTAACCGTGATATCTAGCAATCCAAAGGTTGCGTGTTTGAGTGACACTATAAGTCCTCTAATTCGTATGATATTGTAAGACCGCTATTCCATTCATAATGTTACCTAACTTAATTTAATATATCATGCTAAATGGAGGCATGTACAAAATCCTAGAAATTGCCCTGAGCCCAGGTTGCACATTTGATGTTTTAGTTGACAACAGGTGCTTTTGAGATGGAAAAGGTTGACTTTTAATGTTAATAACAGTCAATGCATCATTAATAAAGCCCTGGAGAAAGAAAAGAAAAGGACTCGGAAGAGCAGGAACATCAACCTCTGAATAGCCTTAGTCATGGGTCAGCAACAGGTGGCCCGCAGGCCAAAAACAGACCCCAATTAATTTCTTTAAGGTAAAGAAAAGTGGCTAAAATCACCAGGAATTGAGCCAAAATGTGTTCAATTTAAGAAATCTGTTCTAAAGTATTCCCACAAATAAAATAAAAAAAAGAGACGTGATCTTGTATGACATGATTCTTTTCAAATAAAATGTGTTATTGGGCTTAGTTGTGATCAATTTGCAGTGTACAATTATTATAATTAGGCTATTTCCGCCCATGACTATCCACAATCTAGTTTCCTACCCCTGCTTCAATCTGGAGTGCCAGTTTGCTCAGGGCGTTCGTAAATTCAGAGCGTTGTCAGATTGTCCGTTCATAAATTCAGAGTGTTTCGCTCTCGGAGCGTTCAGAGATTACACTGGACGCTCTGGCGGAGGAGTAGGGTTGATCCGAGAGTTCTTACCTTACAACGGTAGTCAACGTTGGCTAGCTTGCAAGCTACTTCCAGAAACAAATGAGAGAACACCTCACTCTGACCATTTTACTCCTCCTAGGAGAGCTGGTTAGGCTGTTTTCATTTTATCTTGAGCGTTGGTGACTAACTGTGCTGCTGGCAACAATTTAATTACGCTTTTTTGCACTCAGACGAGTGTGCTCTGAAATCAGAGTAGATAGCCAGAGCGAATTTACGAACGCACCCTTAGTCTTAAGAGTTTATTTTGAAAAGGACATTAGATCAATTATTGCGTTATTAGATCAATTATGTGTCGCTAACCTCCTACCCAGACTAACTGTGCATAGAATGAAGGAGCAATAATGCAGCCCCGAAAAAACTTAAGTAGCCTATTTGTAACAAAGCTCACCTTTCTCTGGCAGGTTTGATTGGACGACAGTCCTTGCCTGTGTCACATCTTCATTTTTAGTGACGTCTAGTTTGAGAATGTTCATGTTGATGGAGCTCTCTCTGTGCAGAGTTTGGGCACCGTCTCCGTTGGGAAACAGACAACCGGCAAAGACCACAAACCCCCGAGCATCCAGCCCCCGGGCAAGATGATGACCGAATCCGCTGTCACAGCCCGTTATCAGTACCGCACGGCCCGCTCCTATCACCCCTTGGTTCCTGCGGCGGCGTGACAAGAGCATGATGGCCAGGAGAAAGATTGCACAAACGGATGAGACAATGATTCTTCCAAAGGGGAAGGAAGTGAGAGCAGCCGTATCCATGCCAACGATGTTTAGAAGGTTTCCAATAATGCTTCCCATCATTGCAAACGTGTCAGCAACAGCGTCCATTCTCAACCAGGGGTGTAGGCTATTTATTCCTGAAAGACAAAAAAAACGTTTTTTGTGCAAAGAATGTTGGGATGTTCTCTATGCTTTAGGACAGGGATGTCAAACAAACAAACACAACGTGCTTGTGTTTCTAGCTCCAACAGTGCAGTAATACCTAGCAATAAAAAAAGAATACACATAATCCCCAAAAATTCAGAAATATCAGAATTAACTATATATATATATATATATATATAATAAAATAATGGTGTGTATAGACAGTATATGAATAGAAAAGATGCACAGCAGTAGTTATATAGGATGAGCCATGACTAGAATACCGTATATCCATATGAAGTGGGTAAAACAGTATGTAAACATTAATAGAGTGACCAGTGTTCAATGACGATGTACATAGGGCAACAATCTCGAAGGTGCCGTGTAGAGTACCGGGTGGTAGCTGGCTAGTAACAGTGACTGAGGTTCATGGCAGGGTACTGGGCGGAGGCCAGCTAGTGGTGGCTGTTTAACAGTCTGATGGCCTGGAGATAGAAGCTGTTTATCTCTCGGCCCCAGCTTTGATGCACCTGTACCGCCTCCGCCTTCTAGATGGTAGCGGGGTGAACAGGCCGTGGCTCGGGTGGCTGAGGTCCGGGGGAGTTGAGTTCGGGATACATGGTTTGGCCCATTGGAGTCCACTCCTGGCCATCCAGGCTAGATCACTGCCTCTGATTGGCCAGTGGAGGTCACCGTAAATCTTCAGGAGCCAGAATTTATGAGCCCTTTATGACCCCTTTGCCTACAGCGACTGGACATAGCCTACCCTTTAAAGTAGATCAGTTGACAAAGAGTAAGAATACCACAGCAGTCCTATAATGCATATTATAAACTGGGTGGTTCGAGCCCTGAAAGCTGATTGGTTATCAGCCATGGTATATCAGAGCATATACCACAGGTACGACAAAACATTTATTTTTACTGCTCTAATTAAGTTGGTAACCAGTTTATAATAGCAATAAGGCACCTTGGGGGTTTGTGGTATATGGCCAATATACCACGGCTAAGGGCTGTATCCAGGCACTTAGCCGTGGTATATTGGCCATATACCACACCTCCTCGGGCCTTATTGCTTAAAATATAATTTAACATTGTGCCAAGACTATAGATGTTATTTTACCAAATAGCGTCATCATGTGGTCTACTTTTTCCTGTGAAAAATCGCACAATGAATAGGCACTTCAGATAATTACTTAGAAAACAAACTGCATCTTGCGCATGGTGGATCAACAAAGTGGTTATCTGCTAGACTCTGAGAAAGCCTGTTCTAGCAGTAATCGCCTGTGAAAAACCAGTTAGAGATACTTGGAAGGGGCCGATAACAAGCCAGTGAAAGGTCATTTCTTATGGTGGGGTATCTTTCACCAATGTTTACAATGCTGGCCTTCTGCGAACATGAGGCCATTTCAATGTAAAAGGACCCATAAAAACCAATGAAGTTCATAGGAGCATGTCAAATCTGGTGTCAAATGAAAGCTAAGAGTCTATATTTGAAAAATGTCCTATCCTAAATATTAGGAATAAGCAAAGACTTTGATTTCTGTTCAAACAGATAGAAAAGGGGTCTTGGAAAACATCTACCAGAAAATGTATTAAAGTATTAGAAATACATAAAAACAGAATAATGTTATAAAATACCCCTGCCAACTAATATCAACATATATTTAGTTTTGGAGAAATTATTTGCCTTGTGTAAGATTAAGAAACATTGCCCTGTGCCTTGAAATTCCATTACCAAAAACACATATCTTTAAGATGCATATGTTCTAATATCTCTCCCTCATGAGGAGGGAGGATAATGAAAGTTCACAGAAGTAATAAGTAAAGGTGTTTTTACTGATATCTATTTGGTTTATGAATCATTAAGAGATTAAAACTTGAAATTCTGTTCCCAAATTGGTAGCGGAACTTCCCAAAAATCTGTAACAGAATTACTGCAATTGAACTGGCTACAATAGGAAATCATAGTAGTCAAATACCACAGTTGGATCACTTGCTACAGTCCTCCCTTCCACTGACATATGGTTACGTTCAACTCATAACGGTTGTCTTTCTCTTTCTGACACCTACCCATGGGCCCCCTCTCTTTACATTTACTGTAACCAGCATCCTTACCCACTAAGCACCGACCGACACCGGACATCCATGGACGTTGAAAAGTAATTGGTTTGGTGAGTCCAAATTTTAGGTTTTTGGTATGGTCCAGACCAGCTTTAATTTCAACGTCGATAGATGCTGATTTGGGCCTTGGGTCTTGATTTGGCCCAATCATAGACGTCTATGTTTCACAAGTTTGGACATCAAAGTACAGCACAGCACAGAACAGTAGAGCAAAGTACATTATAACGTACTCAACTCGTGTTCTCTACTGAACTATATTTTTTACTTTACTGTGCTCTCTACACTTGTGAAACATAGACGTCTATGATTGGTTCAGATTTGGTCCGGTCCAACCAATTTTGGTTTTGTTTGGAGGCAGAGCTCATTAAAATAACAGCTAGTGTGTATCCATAATGATGTCTGTTTGTGTAGTACAGATCAGGGACCCACTTCCTGTAGTTCAATAACCAAAATAATTTTTTTCTAAGTCAATATGTCACGTCATAGCAGACACCCCATTCTTTCTGGAGACATATTTGAATCTTCATTCGGAGCAGATATTTAAAACAGAGTTTTTGGAAAACATGGTAAAAAAATGAGGGAGATTTTACCTAAATTATTTTACCAAACTTTGCATCTGCACATACATTTTTAAATGAAAAATCGGAGTCTCAGCGCAATTCTGTTAACATGGAATTGCCCATGAACTTTGTGTTGGGTTTAGGGTGCTCTCGATATTATGGCAATGTGATGTTTTGTCGAGTTGTTACGTTCCCAAAAGACAAACTCAAAATGTCGCTCACAACAAAGGGAACTAACAAAGAAAATCACTTTAAACAACCAAAACAAAAACAGAAAGGGGTTCTGAAAGGCACCCATGTGGGTGCCCACTGAAAGTTGGCAAAGCCCCTAGTAAGGGGTTCTAAAAGACATCCACCATGGATGCCCACTAGGTTTGCCTCCGAAAAGACAAACTAATAGAAAAACCCACAACAACTTAGGATAGGGAGTAAAAATAATATGGAGCAAAACAATCAAGGAAAACACCAAAACTCAGGCTACTTTCAAACAAATAGATTGAGCTCGAAATCGCACCACAGCTGACGTAATGTGCAGCTCTCCCCAACATCTCTCAAGCTCAATTGGAGCACTGGGCCAGCCACTCTTAAATAGCACCTGGGCCAACAGGTGAAACACCTCCCACTAACAAGATGGCAACCAGCACAGGTGTAACACATACTGACTGACAAGGTGACACCAATCAGTGCGCCCTAAGTGCTAAAGTCCAACCTCAAAACATAAATGGAAAAACCAAAGCCTGTAACAGTGTCTAACTGAAATGTGCACAAATGCAGTTTTACTTATTTGGCATTGCATGAATCTATTAAAGGCAGAATATAACATATTTACTAAAACACTATATTTATATGTATTTCTGTGATTGAGTACCTTCACACCCCTTGACTTTTTCCACATTGTTGTTACAGACTGAATTTAAAATTGATTAAATTGAGATTTTGTGTCACTGATCTACACACAATGACCCATAATGTCAAAGTGGAATTATGTTTTAAAAAATGTTTACAAATTAATTAAATGAAAAGCTGAAATATCTTGAGTAAATAAGTATTCAACCATTTTGTTATGGCAAGCCTAAATAATAAAATGTGCTTAATAAGTCACATAATAAGTTGCATGGACTCACTCTGTGTGCAATAATATTGTTTAACATGATTTTTAAATGACTACCCCATCTCTGTAGCCCACACATACAATTATCTGTAAGTTAAGTCGAGAAGTGAATTTCAACCACAAAGACCAGGGAGGTTTTCCCATGGTTCACAAAGGGCACCTATTGGTAGATAAGTAAAAAAAATACAGACATTGAATATCCCTTTGAGCATGGTGCGGTTATTAATTTTACACTTTGGCTGGTGTATCAATACACCAAGTCACTACAAAGATACAGGCGCCCTTCCAAAATCAGTTCCTGAGAGGAAGGAAACTCAGGGATTTCACCATGAAGCCAATGGTGAATTTAAAACAGTTACAGAGTTTAATGGCTGTCACACAAGACAACTGAGGATGTATCAACATTGTAATTACTCCACAACACTAACATAAAAAAAGAAAGTAGCCTGTACAGAACATAAATATTCCAAAACATGCATCCTGTTTGCAATAAGGCACTAAAGTAATACTGCAAAACGTGTCAAAGAATTCAACTTTTTGTCCTGAATACAAAGCATTATGTTTGAGGCAAATCCAACACATCACTGAGTACCACTCTTCATATTTTCAAGCATGGTAGTGGCTGCATCATGTTATGGGTATGCTTGTCATCGGCAAGGACTAGGGAGTTATGTAGGATAAAGAGCTAAGAACATGCAAAATCCTAGAGGAAACCCTGGTTCAGTCTGCTTTCCAAAAGACACTGGGAGACAAATTCACCTTTCAGCAGGACAATAACCTAAAACACAAGAGCATAAATACACTGGAGTTGCTTTCAAAGATGGCATTGAATGTTCCTAAGTGGCCTAGTTACAGTTTTGACTTAAATTGGCTTGAAGATCTATGGCAAGACTTTAAAATGGCTGTCTAGCAATGATCAAAAACCAACTTGACAGAGCTTGAATAATTTTTAAAAGAATAAATGGGCAACAATTGTACAATCCAGGTGTGCAAAGCTCTAAAAAGAGACTTACCCAGAAAGACTCACAGCTTTAATTTCTGCCAAAGGTGACTAACATGTATTGACTCAGGGGTTGAATACTTAGTGTTTTATTTTCCATTAATAAAAAATAAATAATCTCCTTCATTTTGAGTATTTTCTGTAG